TGCCGAAAAAGGGCCAGTGTAGACTGCCCAGTAGTCTTTTCCGGAAAAAAAGCCCCGATTGCGGAAATGACGATTGGGGCTCTTTTCCGGAAAAGCGTGTCTACATTGGCCACGGTCGCTTTTCTGGAAAAAGGGCTTTTCCGGAAAAGCAGCCTGCCAGTGTAGAAGCTCTTTTTCCGGAAATTCTTATAACGAAAACTATTCTGTTTTAAGCATTTCCGGAAATTCATGCCATTATGTTAAGTGACTACAACCATCAAAGATCTGTAAAGATGATGCATCAGCCATGGCCACTACATTATTTGGAAAGGGGGTTAAATTTCACTTTGCATCCTTTTTCTCCATTTTCTCTTAGGGTGCATCTACACTGCATCCATAGTTTGAAATAAAAGATGCAATTTGAGCTATGCACATTGCGTATCTTATTTCAATCTAATTTTGAAATTTGGTACTGTCTACACAGCACCAAATTTCAAAGTAAAGCGCTATTCAGAAATGTCCCTTAACTCTCATGGAATGAGGGTTACAGGGACGCCAGAATAGCGTGCCTGTTATTTCAAAGTCTATTTTGAAATAGAGGGCATGTTTCAAGACATGGAATAGCTATTTCGGGTTACTTCCAGTGGCCCAAAATAGAGCTGCTGTCTAGACATAGCATCAGTGTTTCCGTTACAGTCTAAGCAGACAGTGATCCTGGGATGTGTTTGCAGATCCCCATAGCATGCTTGGTCGGTAGACTTAAAAGAAAATGATGAGAACTAGTGAATAGTAGGATGTTTTAGGGGGAGGCTGCCAGTTTGCAGGAAGTACCGTTGAGAGAAGGCGGGAGATGGGATAGCTCTGAGAAGGTGTCTTGTGTCAAATGAAAAGTTTTGAGAGGAAAGGGTTATTGAAGGAAGAGCATTTAGGAATGAGTGAGGCTCTGAAAACTGAGGGGAAGTGAATCGCTGGGATGAAAGGTGTGCAGATTAGTGAGATGGGATTGAGGGTGAAATAAGGGGGATAATGTCAGAACATACTTAAACAGACTGCTGAATAGTACAGCTGCTGACCTTCTATGTGTCAGATAATGGGAGGCTGATCCTCATCGCCACATCTGTGTTGAACGTGATTGGCAGTCATGGCCATCGCTACCCATATGTAGAATATGAAGATGCATAGAATAGAATATGCACCTGAAAATTTGGGGCACCATTGGGTCTTAATGTCCACCCTGCCACACACACCCTTCCTATCCCTGCTCTGTGACTCCACTTCTGGAGAGGATCTAGTTAAATTAAAAGTGAAAAAGCTCGCCAGGCCTATTAGCAGAACCTGTGAAAGAGCCATGCAAATGGAAATGAAGCCATTTAACAGACATTTGCCATCCCCAGGTATACACTATGGCTACGTCTACCCTGGTGCATTCTCACACAAAAATTCCTTTGCAAAAACTCTTCCAGAAGAGAGCGTCTACACTGGCATGTGCTTTGTGCAAGAGATGTGCTTTTGCTCAAGAGCATCCATGCCTGTGTAGATGCTCTCTTGCGCAAGAAAGCTCTGATGGCCATTTTAACCATAGGGCTTTCTTATGCAAGAAATTCATGTTGCCTGTCTACACTGGCCTCTTCTGGAAGAGCTCTTGCACAAGAGGGCTTATTCCTGAGCGAGAGCGTCAGAGTTCTCGTTCAAGAAGCCCTGATTTTATACATTAGAATGTCAGTTTACTTGCGCAAGAACACGTGGCCAGTGTAGACAGGCAGAAAGTTTTTGTGCAAGAGCGGCCGCTTTTGTGCAAGATCGCGCCAGTGTAGACGCAGCCTATCAGTTTCTGAATTTACTGTTATAGGCTACACAGGACCTTAGTTTAAAATTTTCTTTAAAAATATTTCATTAGTGTGTTGCTGAAGATTTTAAAATCACATCTCAAAAAATCACACACACACCAGCTGCCATCAGGTATAGAGGCACCAATAGAATAAGTACTGCATAAGGCCCCATAAATCCTAAGGATGATCCTGCTGGCAATGACGCTTTTGTCTACAGCCTCTGTGTGAACATAACTTTCCTGTCCTGTCCACTTTCTGGAGAAAGATATGAGTCACAAGACTATGAGCACACAGTCCTGCACCACCAGTTGATGGGAGCTTGGTCACTGATCTCAGTGTGTGCAGGATTATTCTTCTGGGTCCTAGTCCTGCCAAAGAATCTGCAAGGATGGGCCCTAATGACTATGCTGAGTCATGACTAATTCAGTAGGACTCTATCCAAGCGCAACACCCTCTCTTGTGCTGATCCTTTTGAAGAATTGGGACCAAAATGTTCTTGCATTAATTGTTTCTTTCCCCAGAGAAGGGACAGGTCAGGAAAGACAGGTTCACAGTGATAAGGCATAAAGTTAGGCACCATTTTTCCACTGTGGGACTTTTGGCCATACTTTCCCCTCATTGAGCACATCTGATTGTTGTTGAGGTTTGCTATCCCTGTTTTCTTTCCCAGGCTTTTGGATTGTTAGGGATGAAGTGACCTGGTAGATGGAAGAAGGAATAGAACCACGTGTCTTTGATCTCCAGGGCCCCAAGAAAATGGAGGGCCCAAGAGACCTGTATACAGGTAATTAGCTGGTTTTAAAACTGGAATTTCAACACTGCTCTCCTGTCAGTCTCATTCTTTGATCTCATAGGCCAGAGTGGCCAAATGTACTGACCCGCTGAGCTGTAAATAGCAATCTTCAAAAGTTCAAGAGCTGCAAGACACACAACCTGCCCCATGGGGCGGTGCCCACAAGAGTGCGGGGGTAAAGCCATGAGATCTCTCTCCCTGCAGGGCAGAAGCCTCTGGTCCCACCGTCCACTACTGGGCACAAACTGTGAGCTCCCCTCCACCCAGTCTGGTAGGCGGAGAAAGGGGGTGGTGCCTGGGTGGGGTTCTGTGAGCCTCACTTTAACTGTAAAAGAGTCACATGTGGCTCATGAGCAGTAGTTTGGCCACACCGGTCATAGGCTCTGCTATAGTAGAAGTTCTACTTACTTTAGATTCTTCCATTTGTAAATTAAATCCAGAGTATTTGTCTAACTGAAAGTTGAGGACAAGAAACATATAACTTTCAAAAATTAGAGCCTAATTTTAGGCTCCTGAGGACTAACCAATGAGACTTGTGTTCCCAAATCACTTAGATTCGCCAAGTCCATACTGTAAATAGGGATTTTATAAAGTACATATCTTTTTTACATCTCTTTTGAAATATTTGGCCAATATTTTCTGTTTATTCATAACACATACTTTCTCTCTATTATGGAGGCTTTGTAGCAAAACCCAGGTAATGTAAGTGGTTTTCCACTTAAAGTAGAGTTCAAATCCCTTCTAAAACATAAAATCTTACCCTTTTTATGACCCAAAGTATACTCTTTGCCAGTGTTTCCTCTAAGTTAGTTTGACCTATCTTAGGTGTATGGAAGGTTTCTTCCGTCAACCTGGCTGCCTCTTCTAGAGGGGGTGGTGTTACAACAGCGATGGAGAAATCCCTTCCATGGCTGTCGTGAATATCTTCACTACAGTGGCACAGCTGCAGCACCTCAGCTGTGCTGCTGTAGTGTTATAGTGTGCAGCTCTACCCTTAAGCTTAGCAGTGTACTTGTAACACCCTTTATCCATTTTTGAGCTAGGCAATGAGTGCTGTCCGAATTCTCTCTTTATTTCCCTAGATGACACGATTGCAAGAGAAAACAAAGAGGAGAACCCTCAGCTGAAGCTAGACCCAGGAAAGAAATTGGACACACCTGCTGGCCCCATTAACTATCAGAGGCCTTATGGGAGAGAAAATCACTATCAATGTACAGAATGTAGGAAAAGCTTCAGTGTTCATTCAGCGCTAATCAAACACCAGAGAATCCACACCGGAGAGAAACCCTATCAGTGCAGTGAGTGTGGGAAGAGCTTCAGTGTGAGCTCAACGCTGGTTACGCATCAGAGGATCCATACAGGGGAGAGGCCCTACAAATGTGTGCAGTGTGGGAAGAGCTTCAACCAGAGCTCACACCTCACTCAACATCAGAAGATACACAAGGGAGAGAAGCCATGTACATGCACTGAATCTGGAGAAGGTTTTATTGATAGCTCAACATGCGTGAAACATCCAGGACTGCACGCTGGAGTGGGGCCCTATAAATGTGCCGAGTGTGGGAAAAGCTTCAATCGGAGCTCCACACTCTACAACCACAACAGAATCCACACGGGAGAGAAACGGTACAAGTGTGAGCAGTGCGGGAAAAGCTTCAGCGTGAGTTCTAACCTTATTAGACATCAGAAAATCCACATGGAGCAGAGACCCTATAAGTGTGTTGAATGCCGGAAGAGCTTCAGCTTATACTCTGATCTGGAGGTGCATCAGAGACTTCACCTGGGAGAGAAACCCCACAAATGTTCTGAGTGCGAGAAAAGCTTTGACCAGGAATCGCAGCTCCAGAGACACCAGCGAGTTCACACAGGAGAAAACACGTATGAGTGTGTGGAGTGTGGGAAGACCTTCAGTAGGAAGGGGAACCTCCTGAGACACCAGGAGATCCACACTGGAGATAAGCCCTACCAGTGTAATGAATGTGGGAAAAGCTTCAGCCGAAGTTCTTCACTCATGCAGCATCAGCGCATCCACACTGGAGAAAAACCCTACAGCTGCATCGAATGTGGCAAGAGCTTCAGCTTTAGCTCCCAGCTCACCACCCACCAGCGGATCCACACCGGGGAGCGGCCCTACACATGTAACGAGTGTGGGAAGAGCTTTGTGGATAGTTCAGGTCTCATTCAGCACCGGAGAATTCACACGGGAGAGAAGCCCTACCAATGCACCGAGTGTGGGAAGAGCTTCCGGCAAAACTCTGTGCTGATTCAGCATCGCAGAACCCACACTGGTGACAAGCCCTTTGAGTGCGGGGAATGCGGGGAATGCTTTAGCCAGAGCTCCACGCTGATCACACACCAAAGGATTCACACTGGGGAGCGGCCTTACCACTGCAGTGAGTGTGGGAAGAGCTTCAGCGAGAGCTCACACCTCACCCAGCATCGGAGAATCCACACCGGGGACAAGCCCTACAAGTGTGGCGAATGTGGGAAGAGCTTCATTCAAAGCTCGCAGCTCACCACCCACCAGCGGATCCACACAGGAGACAAACCCTACCAGTGCCACACCTGTGGGAAGAGCTTCAGTGACAGCTCAGCGCTCACTCAGCATCAGAGAGTCCACACGGGGGAGCGACCGTACCAGTGCACAGAGTGCGGGAGGAGCTTCAGCCAGAGCTCAGCCCTGGTGCAGCACTGGAGGATCCACACTGGAGATAAGCCGTATGAGTGCACTGAGTGCGGGAAAACATTCAGTCAGAGTACAGGACTCACTCAGCACCGGAGCACCCATGCTGGAGAGAGACGCTGAGATCAGGACCCTTGGGCCACATGGCACTCTATGCCCATGATGTCAGGAGTGACTTCTTGCTGTACTAAATGATGCAATAAAGTGGAAGCAATGTTAACTGATCATTAAATGATTGACTCCCAATAAATCTCTTAATTAAAATCTTCCTAAAAATGCATCTGTGACACTGAGACAGCTAGCCCTTCCCCACAACTGGCCCCCAAACCTCAGGGAACATTATAAAATGTTAAGCTGAATCACTGGGGAATTTAGCTAGAGCTTCTGTGCAGTGTGGCTGCCTGCTTACCCTTCTGATGTAGCTACAAAACTTGGGGAGTGAAGCTGTCTCAGAAGTGGCAGAAGCTCTGAAGAAATATGGAGGAGACTGCAAGAGAGATTTCCACCTCAGGCCATTTATATCAGATAGAGGAAATGCCATCCAGTCAGCTAAGCAGGCTATATGCCGAGCTCCACTTCTGAGCTTAGGAACTCTGTGTTATAGTTGCCTCTCACATCTGTACAGTTCCCAATATGGACAGCAAGAAAAAGATCCTTCCATATGTCTCTCCTCTGCACCTAAAACATGCATGACTCAGGGCCTGCATGGGGGAGGTGACTGTCCTTATTTCTTTAGGATGTCCACCACCTCCTTTTAACCCTCCCACAAGTCACTGCTTCATCCTCTTCTGCCCTCTTACCTGAAAGAGGGGATTGTTCTTTTCCTTGCTCGCCTGTACACAGAGACTTCCCCATTCAGCACTTCCTGCCCTCCTTTATCAAGGAGCAGGGCAGCAAGAGGTGGCAGACATCTCATGAGTTCCCCCTTATGGGGAAAACTCAACAACACAGAGATCTGGAGTTGGGAGGCAAAAGTTTAGGTGGCCAAGCTCATCTGGAAGATGGCAGGCGAATATCTACTTTGTTAGGTGTATGCAATGCAACTACAAATGTATGTGTTATCCTGGTAAAAAGGCCTTGTTCTGACTGAGGCACCAGGGAGTCTAATAGGTAAACTATATTTGATGACCCTGACGCTTCTAAGGTAAAAAAGCAAGTGGAAGACTAAAACCTTATGGGGCAGAATATGAGGAATCTTATTAAGCTGTCCTCACACATCATAAAGAAGCAGAAAAGGTACAAAGCCATCTTTCTTCCATTATAGGTCAGCCTTAAATCTAAACTCAACTTCTAATGCTTGGTTTTTTTCATAACTACAGTATTGTACGTCTTTTTAGTACCTGTCAGTTTTAATTCCAGTTTTGCATGTGTGTGGAATGAACATTAGGCAGTTTTCAGTAACATAACCCTTTTCTCACCTGTGAAGTGGGGGAAGGGAGTTATGGGAGTTGGTACATTAAGGGTAACAATAGGGTTGAGGGGTAAAGTGGATGAGACAAAGGCATGTTTTGTTTCTCTTTTCTGGCCACAAGTATCTGGTAATGCACAGGGGAAAGTTAATGAAGGTCAGGTACACAGAAGTCTCTTCAGAAATGAACATTTGACATTTCTAAGAGGGGTTGTGGATATTTGCTCCCATTAGTACTTGGTTGTTAGGAATCTTGGATTTGTCCCTTGCCAGCTGGATGATGAAATCTGTTCACTTAGCAGTAGGTTTAGTATGTCTTATCTTTTATTTTTATGGAGTGATGGAATGATGTAGAGCTTGAGTATAAGGAATGGAACAATTTTGGTTGCACTTCTACTATTTCTGTCCCCCTAAATTTTTCTCTTTATCACACTAAAAATACACATGAAACAGATGTGCTGCACTGGGCTTCTAAGGGCACATCTACACAGCAGGGCTAAAACCAAAATAAGCTATGTAACTTCAGCTACGTCAATTGTGTAGCTTAAGTGAAAATAGCTTATTTAGGCTTTTGGCGCTATTTACACAGCAGGGAGTCAAAGGAAGAACACTCTTCCTCTGAATTCCCTTACTCCTCCTAAAATGAGGGTTACAGGAGTCTGAGTAAGAAGTCCTGAAGCTTAACATTATTTTGACATCATGTTGAAATAACTGCTTGCAGTGTAGATGTGCCCTGTGTTATTTCACAATAACATCAGTTAGGGCTGCTGTGCAGATGTGCCTTAATAGTGCCATCTACAGTCAAATGGTATGAGTGATTCCGTTGGAAAGCATGAATTTGAGGACATTATCTGGATACTGGATGTTCAATAAACAATAAGATGCATTGACTACATATATTTATTTTGGGTACAAAGGGTGAAATTTTTAATGTAGTGTTAAAATAATGGAAGACATTTTGATAAAGCTGACACTGCTGTGGAAAACTTAAGTTGCTGTTGGGTTTAAGACTATAGACGGCAATACACCTATTATATTTCCAGTTGTTGGGGAAACAGAGCAACAGGGAGAGAAGAAAGGCAAAATAGAAGTTGGAGGAGCTGAAAGATTTCAGGAATGAAGCAGTGAGTCTATGGGACATGTTGGTAAATAGATAAACTATGTGGCAATTTGTAGCCCTCAGCCAGTTCAATAATAAACACACGTTAGAAGTATCTTTCCTGCAGCTTTGTGGGCATTTTCCACTAGCACTCTGTCCTGCCTTACTTAGCTTTGCCTCTTGTCACGGAAATCCAGACTCAGGGTTGGAAGGAGAGAAACACTTTTATTAAGACACAGCTGTGGGAAGTTTCAAAAGGAAGACTTTGAATCAAAATGTCCGCAGCAACCTTATATATCCTTGATTACACACCAAAAGGAACAGACATTACATAAGCTAGTAACAGCGTTATGATTGGCTTTATGATTGGCTTAATGCTCGGAGCCCCCCAATCTCAATATACATAGACAGGAGCGGCCGGAGGCCGGCTGCAGCAGCTGGCGCCCTCAGCGGAAGGCGCAATCGGCGTCCCCACCTGCACAGCTGTCAATGGCTGTGACATAATCATGGGGTGCCAGGGCCACCCCGTGCATAGAAAAACTTAGTTACATGAGTGTTAGTCTCATCCTTGAAGCAGAAAAGCTAGATCAGGCTGGTTTCAGTAGGTTCACTATCTCTCACACAATGCAAGGTCACATTCGGTCAGTTACAAACACACTTCCACATTGTTCCTTTCAACAATATATATTTTTCTTCACTAGTCACCCTGTGCCTGAACAGTGGATTTCTCACCGAAGCAGTGAGGAACACCTGTTTCACGTGCCAGTGACATTTGATGAGGTAGATGCATCTCCCACAAAGAACTGGCTTCTTTTTTTCAGCTTAAAAGGCAGAAGGCGTTCTAGCCCCGTAGGAGCAGGAAAGAGATGAGATCACACTCTGTGCAAAGTCCTCCTCAGGCCTATAAAATGTCACGTGTGCCTTAGGCATCTGGCTCTGTTCCCCTTTCCACTTGGTCAATGTGATTTCCTTGTTGTCAGCAGCAGTGTTGCCTTTAGCCCAGCACTTCCTGGGCTACAAAATTGTGCCAGCCACCCTAGAGGCATTTTGCTAAAAAAAAAAAAGGCCTCCTGGTAAGGGTGAAGGGGAAAGGGTGGGGAGGGTTAGTAGACAGCGAAGGACCCATCACGGTCCCTCTTCCGGAATCACCGCAGGGCGCCTGTCAGCAGCCGATTGCTTGTCATGTGACTGGGGAGTTGCAAATTCCTGCAGTCAGTTTTCAGCCTGGGTAGCAAGCGGGGCTGGGCAGCCGAGGACAGGCCCGGCCTGGGGACGCAGACACGGGAAGCCGCCCTGCCA